GGCAGGCAGCACCAAACCACAGGATAAGAAAAAGCAAGACAGTAGAGAGTAACATCAAGTTAGGTACACACAATCAAACCTTCAAACAACTAAGATAACTAAATGGCAGGAATCACCACATACCTATCAGTACTAACACTTAATGTTAATGGACTTAATTCACCCATCAAAAGACACCGTTTGACAAAATGGATTAAAAAAGAAGATCCAACAATTTGTTGCTTACAGGAGACTCATCTCACCGACAGAAATAAGCATATGCTTAGGATGAAAGGCTGGAAGAAGATTTACCAAGCCAATGGCCCCGAAAACAAGCAGGAGTAGCAATACTTATCTCTGACAAAGTAGACTTCAAACCTACATTGATCAAACGAGATAAAGAAGGACATTCCATACTAATAAAAGGGGAAATAGACCAAAAGGAAATAATAATCATCAATCTGTACGCACCCAATGTCAACGCACCCAATTTCATCAAACATACCCTGAAAGACCTAAAAGCATATATAAACGCCAACACAGTGGTTGTGGGAGACTTTAACACTCCATTATCATCAATAGATAGGTCATCCAAACAAAAACTCAATAAAGAAATCCAAGATCTAAAATATGCAATAGATCAAGTGGACCTAGTAGATGTCTACAGAACATTTCATCCAACCTCTACACAATATACATTCTTCTCAGCAGCCCATGGAACCTTCTCCAAAATAGATCATATCCTAGGGCACAAAGCAAGCCTCAGCAAATATAAGAAAATAGAAATAATACCATGCATACTATCTGACCACAATGCAGTAAAAGTAGAACTCAACAACAAAAGTAAAGACAAAAAACATGCAAACAGCTGGAAACTAAATAACTCATTACTTAATGAAGAATGGATCATCGATGCAATAAAAGAGGAAATTAAAAAGTTCCTGAAGTCAATGAAAATGAAAACACAACCTACCGGAACCTATGGGACACAGCTAAGGCAGTCTTGAGAGGAAAGTTTATAGCCATGAGTGCATATATTAAAAAGATTGAAAGATCCCAAATCAATGACCTAATGATACATCTCAAACTCCTAGAAAAACAAGAACAAGCAAATCCCAAAACAAATAGAAGGAGAGAAATAATAAAAATAAGAGCTGAAATCAATGAAATAGAAACCAAAAAAACCATACAAAGAATTAATGAAACAAAAAGTTGGTTCTTTGAAAAAATAAACAAGATCGATAGACCCCTGGCAAACCTGACTAAAATGAGGAGAGAAAAAACCCAAATTAGTAGAATCAGGAATGCAAAAGGGGAGATAACAACAAACACCATGGAAGTCCAGGAAATCATCAGAGACTACTTTGAGAACCTATATTCAAATAAATTTGAAAATCTAAAAGAAATGGACAGATTTCTAGATACATATGATCATCCAAAACTGAACCAAGAGGAAATTAATCACCTGAATAGACCTATAACACAAAATGAAATTGAAGCAGCAATCAAGAGTCTCCCCAAAAAGAAAAGTCCAGGACCTGATGGATTCTCTGCTGAATTCTATCAGACCTTTAAAGAAGAACTGATACCAACCCTCCTTAAACTGTTCCATGAAATAGAAAGGGAAGGAAAACTGCCAAACACATTTTACGAAGCCAGTATTACACTTATCCCAAAACCAGGCAAAGACACCTCCAAAAAGGAGAACTATAGGCCAATCTCCTTAATGAACATTGATGCAAAAATCCTCAACAAAATAATGGCAAACCGAATTCAGCAACACATCAAAAAGATTATTCACCACGACCAGGTAGGCTTCATCCCAGGGATGCAGGGGTGGTTCAACATACGAAAATCAATAAACGTAATAAACCACATTAACAGAAGCAAAGACAAAAACCACTTGATCATCTCAATAGATGCAGAAAAAGCCTTTGATAAGATCCAACATCATTTCATGATAAAAGCTCTAAGAAAACTAGGAATAGAAGGAAAGTTCCTCAACATTATAAAAGCTATATATGACAAACCTACAGCCAGCATTATACTTAACGGAGAAAAATTAAAACCGTTCCCTCTAAAATCAGGAACCAGACAAGGATGCCCACTATCTCCACTCCTATTCAACATAGTACTGGAATTCCTAGCCAGAGCAATTAGGCAAGAAGAAGGAATAAAAGGAATACAAATAGGTAAAGAAACTGTCAAAATATCCCTATTTGCAGACGACATGATCCTATACCTTAAAGACCCAAAAAACTCTACTCAGAAGCTTCTAGACATCATCAATAGCTATAGCAAGGTAGCAGGATATAAAATCAACATAGAAAAATCATTAGCATTTCTATACACTAACAATGAGCAAACGGAAAAAGAATGTATGAAAACAATTCCATTTACAATAGCCTCAAAAAAAATCAAATACCTAGGTGTAAACCTAACAAAAGATGTGAAAGACCTCTACAAGGAAAACTATACACTTCTGAAGAAAGAGATTGAGGAAGACTATAGAAAGTGGAGAGATCTCCCATGCTCATGGATTGGTAGAATCAACATAGTAAAAATGTCGATACTCCCAAAAGTAATCTACATGTTTAATGCAATTCCCATCAAAATTCCAATGACATTCATTAAAGAGATTGAAAAATCTACTGTTAAATTTATATGGAAACACAAGAGGCCACGAATAGCCAAGGCAATACTCAGTCAAAAGAACAATGCAGGAGGTATCACAATACCTGACTTCAAACTATATTACAAAGCAATAACAATAAAAACAGCATGGTACTGGCACAAAAACAGACATGAAGACCAGTGGAACAGAATAGAGGACCAGATATGAAGCCACACAACTATAGCAACTTTCTTTGACAAAGGAGCTAAAAATATACGATGGAGAAATAGCAGCCTCTTCAACAAAAACTGCTGGGAAAACTGGTTAGCAGTCTGCAAAAAACTGAAACTAGATCCATGTATATCACCCTATACCAAGATTAACTCAAAATGGATCAAGGATCTTAATATCAGACCCCAAACACTTAAGTTGATACAAGAAAGAGTAGGAAATACTCTGGAGTTAGTAGGTATAGGTAAGAACTTTCTCAATGAAACCCCAGCAGCACAGCAACTAAGAGATAGCATAGATAAATGGGACCTCATAAAACTAAAAAGCTTCTGTTCATCAAAAGAAATGGTCTCTAAACTGAAGAGAACACCCACAGAGTGGGAGAAAATATTTGCCAACTATACATCAGACAAAGGACTGATAACCAGAATATACAGGGAACTTAAAAAACTAAATTCTCCCAAAACTAATGAACCAATAAAGAAATGGGCACGTGAACTAAACAGAACTTTCTCAAAAGAAGAAATTCAAATGGCCAGAAAACACATGAAAAAATGCTCACCATCTCTAGCAATAAAGGAAATGCAAATTAAAACCACACTAAGATTCCACCTCACCCCTGTTAGAATAGCCATCATCAGCAACACCACCAACAACAGGTGTTGGCGAGGATGCGGGAAAAAGGAACCCTCTTACACTGTTGGTGGGAATGTAGACTAGTACAACCACTTCTGGAAAAAATTTGGAGGCTACTTAAAAAGCTGGACATCGATCTACCATTTGATCCAGCAATACCACTCTTGGGGATATACCCAAAAGACTGTTACTCCAGAGGCACCTGCACATCCATGTTTATTGCGGCACTATTCACAATAGCCAAGTTATGGAAACAGCCAAGATGCCCCACACTGACGAATGGATTAAGAAAATGTGGTATCTATACACAATGGAATTTTATGCAGCCATGAAGAAGAACGAAATGTTATCATTCGCTGGTAAATGGATGGAATTGGAGAACATCATTCTGAGTGAGGTTAGCCTGGCTCAAAAGACCAAAAATCGTATGTTCTCCCTCATATGTGGACATTAGATCAAGGGCAAACACAACAAGGGGATTGGACTATGAGCACATGATAAAAGCGAGAGCACACAAGGGAGGGTGAGGATAGGTAAGACACCTAAAAAACTAGCTAGCATTTGTTGCCCTTAACGCAGAGAAACTAAAGCAGATACCTTAAAGCAACTGAGGCCAATAGGAAAGGGGACCAGGAACTAGAGAAAAGGTTAGATCAAAAAGAATTAACCTAGAAGGTAACACCCACGCACAGGAAATCAATGTGAGTCAATGCCCTGTATAGCTATCCTTATCTCAACCAGCAAAACCCCTTGTTCCTTCCTATTATTGCTTATACTCTCTCTACAACAAAATTAGAGATAAGGGCAAAATAGTTTCTGCTGGGTATTGAGGGGGGGAGCGGGAGGGGGTGGAGTGGGTGGTAAGGGAGGGGGTGGGGGCAGGGGGGAGAAATGAACCAAGCCTTGTATGCACATATGACTAATAAAAGAAAAATGAAAAAAAAAAAAAAAGAGATGCAAGCTTTTTGAACTGGGAGGAGATAAGAAAAAGGGGCAAGTGATCCAGTTCTAAGCTCCCTCTTTTTTTTTTTATGAAGAAAATAAAATCATGAGGTCAATTTCAAAACAAATAAATAAATTAGAAATTGTCAACATTACCAACAATACTGCACCAAATATTCTTACACAATTTGTATATTTACACGATTGTTTCCCTATGATAATTCTATTAAAATAATACTTAGGTTTTTTTCCAATTACAAAGTTAATGCAAGTTTACTAAAGACAATTTGGAAAATGCAGGCAAGTCCATCCCCCAGAAATAACAAACACTGTCAAGATTTAACTCATGTTCTAACTTTAGGTTTAAGAATACTGCTCAGTAAGTAATAATCCATTGTCAAGCCCCACTCTTCCTGATTTTGGTCCTAGGAGAAATTCTGCCTCCTCAATGTAACTTTTATAAATATGGATTATATATTGACTTTACTAGTCTATTTTTGTGAGCTCCAGAGGCATTTTCCATATGACTCACCTCTATTCCCACAAATGTGTTTAAGAGAAGGTTGTAATATAATTAATTTTCTTACCTCATTTCCAGATCTAAGAAGATTCCCAAGTGACTGCAAAATGAAATACAAGCATGTTGGAAGTAAATTTCAATGTGTTTCAGTAAAATGGCTATTTTTCTCTATTTCGTGGATATAAACTGCTTTGTCTGTTCTGTGCTGGTGTTATTCATTTCCACAATACTGCTGTGACCACTTAAGAAATGTTATCTGCTCTTTATTTCACTGGAAATAAAGCTACACCAAACTCTGGAATGGGCTGAGTCATAAAAAGGGACAGGGTAAAGTGCACAGTCTTCATCCTCCAATTACCAATCCAAACTCATAGATGTCTCAGAAATAAGAAATGGATATAAATAAAGGAAACCAAAGCCATCAGAAACCCCTAAAGAATCAGAAGGTGGTTATCATTTGGTGAGAAAGGGAAATAGTCACACTGTATAGAAGAAGGCCAGGCTTCCTACACTGGGATAGATTTGGGGAAAATTTTTGAGATAGGATCTTTTCTATTCACATTTTGCAAAGTAGATAACTGCATTTCCCATCAGCCCTACTGCAATTCCATAAAGCAGGAGTGCCAAGAGGCTCATAGGAGAGCAATATTGGGATGCAGGGCATAAAAGAAAAAAAATAGTAAATGCTGGCTTTACTGAGAAGCATCTAACGGTGTCCCCCTCTAGAATATAAATACTTTTTTTAGAAAAGAACAAAGCCCTAGGTTAGGCTCCTTAAGAGGCCAAAGCCTTCCCTTGACTGAAAAGAAGTTTATACTTAGTCAAGGACACTGGCAGTAAGAATGCAGGGTGAAAAACACAGAAAGGTTGTAACTAGGTCAGAGTGTTTTTGATGTTTAAGTCTCTTCTTCTTTTGTATAAAGCTGACTGAGAAAAAATTTTGCCAGTTGGTCATCAGCCTGCTGGCCCTCTCGATATGTGTCTTGTCTTGTCTTGTCTTGTTGATTCCTGCCCTGAACCCTTTTGGGTTAAGGACCTCTGCGATCCTGGCAAACAGCAAAATTGACACAGGTCAAGATTGGGTCAAGGAACATTTCCAAAAGACATTATGGAAGAATAAGATGGAAACATAAAAAGGTAAGAAAAATGGTGGTTGGAGATAGAGATGATAACATTCACACTTGGAAGCCTGAGGCAGGCAGATCACAAGTTCAAGATCAACCTGGACTACAGAGGCCCTGTCTGGAGAGAGAGAAGAAAAAACTGAATCCAAATACTATCAGTCTTCTCAACATTAATCAGAATCAGGTAAATAATAAAGAAATATTTTCGAGTATTGGAAAAAGAAACTGTGGCTCTAAATTTTTACATTTAGCTGAACTATCACTTAAACATAAAGGTACAATAAATATATTCTCAGACCTTTATGGTCTCAGCAAATTATCATGCAGACCCTTTTTGAAAGTACTCTTGGGTAATTAATCTGTTAATAAGGAATATTTAGGAAATGTAGCCAGGCATGGGGGTACCTGTAATTCTAGCACTAGGGAGGTGAAGGCAGGAGGGTTGCAAGTTTGAGGCCAGCCTGGGCAACACAGCAAGTTCCGGCCAGTATGGGCTATAAGACCCTGTCTCAAAGAAAACCAAGAAAAAAAGAAATATTTAGGGAGTGTTATAAAATATAAGGAAATAAGAAAGGGGAAATAACTTTGTAAAGTTGTTATCTAAATATATGTGCTGGGCATGGTGGTGCACAGTGTGGTGGGACACACCTGTAATCCCAGTTACATGGAAGGTGGAGGTAGGAGGATCTCTATCTAAGACCAGCCCAGGCAAAAAGTGCAAGACCCTATCTGAAAACAAAAGCAAGAGAACTAGCTGGGCGCAGTAGTTTACACCTATAATCCTAGCTACTCAAGAGGCAGAGATTGGGAGAACCAAGGTTTGAGGCCAGCCCAGGCAAAAAAGTTCATAAGACCCCATCACAACCAATAAAAAGCCGAGCATGGTGGTGGTACATGCCTGTCATCCCAGCTACACATGAAACATAAATTGGAGGATTGTAGTCCAGGCCAGTTCAGGCATAAACATAAGACCCTATCTCAAAAATAACCAAAGAAAAAAGGACTGGGGGCATGGTTCAGGCAGTAGAATGCCTGCCTAGCAAGTGTGAGACCCTGTGTTCAAACCCCAATGCCACAATAAAAAGGATATAGTAAAATATATATGTAAAAAAAATCAGATGTAACAAAGTGGGAGAACAGGTTACAACTTTCAGAGAGCCCAGAGGGATATCCACTGGAAGAACAAATATAAAATATATGCTTCTCAAACCCATAGGGAAATAAAAATGATTTTTTCAAGGAAATGAACAAGAAGCAAAAATAAAGAAAATACAAACTAAGATGGAGTAAAAAGCTCTAACATAAAATTAATTTAATATATTAAATTCACCAAAAAAAAGAAAGGATTCTAAGACTGAATTTTTTAAAAAAAAGACAAAACCTAGCAATATATTGTTTATAAGAGACATACTTAAAAGGATAGAGTAAGTTAAAACAAAGGGGGAAAAGGTAAATATGAACTAAAAGAAAGGCAAGTAGACATATAATATCAGAAACATATTTCAAGGAAAAGGCATCAATATGTGAAAAGGGAAATAGTAGATCAAAAATATGTAATGATCATTAATGTAACTATTTTAACAACATAACTTCACAATATATAAAGCAATAACTGACCTCTGGCTCTCCCTTGATAATACTACCTCACCTGAAGCCATTTCAAATGATGCCTTTATTTTTTTTAATTTTCGTTTATTCATATGTGCATACAATGTTTGGGTCATTTCTCCCCCCCTACTCCTGCCCCTTCCCTCTCCTCCCCATCCCCTCGCTTCCAGCAAATGATGCCTTTAATTCCCACATCCTCCTTTATCACATTGGCCTGGGAATGACATGAGGATCCTCCTCAATACTGCTTCCAGATCATTATTGCAATTCCCTAATCACACCCAACTTCAAATCTCCTGTTACAGGACCATATGCCACTCACTACCCTACTTGTTGTTGTCATCTACCTCCTTGCTCATCATTACTTTATCCACTTCTTCTGTCATAATCCCCAGCAATTTCAATATTCACATAGATCTTTCCAACACTTGGCTTCTGTTTTCTTATTTGTTCTCTTCCAGTGAGACAATCCTGTAGCCATTGGTTATACCCTTGACTTTGTTGTACAAAAACAAAAAAATTGCAACCCTTCTATAAATTTCAAATATTTTATTCTTCAAACATCACCTATTTAAAGCTCATTCCCTCTAGTACCTTAACTGAGAATTCTTTGATCTTCACAGGAACTTTTACATAATTGATTCTATCACCTTCTTATTGTCCTTCACTGACTCATGTCCTCATTTCCTTTGTTACCCAGTTTAAATTCCATGGTCAATAATTATAATCAGTCCTTTGCTCACCTCCTACTCACTTTCTTCTCTCTTGCTTTGAAGTGCATCTTGACTGACCTCAGCCCAGCTTTATAGTTATTTCTGCCTACTCCATACCTGCACCCTGAGAGCTGAATGTAGCTTCAGGAAAACATTTAAACTTACTAACTGGTCTCAGTTTAAATAATCATTAACCTCCAGTAGCCCCAGAATGCTGACTGACAAACATATCTCTCTAATGCACTCACACTGCTACACAAGAATTATGTGTTTTCCCCTGTCTTCTTGAATCTTTAAGATCTTCTCTTCCATCTTCATTCTTGCTGATGACTTGGCTTCTTATTGCATTAGAAGCAATCATTATTAACTACACATATTTATTTCATTTTTTAAAACTATACATACCTCTTTTTCCTTTTTTGAGAAACAAATTTTTTATTAGGATGCCATTGAAAGGGGGTAGAATGGTGGGCAGCTATGCAAAGGAGCATAGGGCCCCACACATACTTCTATATATATTTATCACAAATATATCTGTACCCATATATTCTACTTCTCTCTTGTTACCAGTAGACAGATTGTCTGACTCCCATCTGACGCCAGCCCTTTCACTTGTACATCAGATCCTATCTCTTCTCCTCTGTTCAAGGATATAGCTTCAGTAATTCTCTTTTTCTACATATAATCATTTTTCCTCTCCAACATGATTTCCCCCCTCAACTTTAAAAGAACAAAAAGCAACTCTCTGTTTTACCCAATTTCTTTGCCAGTTACTGCCTCAATGCTCTCTTTCCCCTAACAGAGAAACTCCTTTAAAAAACTGTATAGTGCCAAACGTGGTGGTACACACCCATAATTGTAGTACTTAGGAAACAGAGGCAAGATAATTTTGAGTTCAAGGCCTGCCTTGACTATACAGCAAGACCCTGTCTCAAACAAAAAATAAAACAATTGTATAAATTCACTGTCTCCAATTTCCCTCCTTGCTTGAGCCCATTCTAATATGGGTTTTGACCCTGTTCCACCATTGAACCTGCTCCTGCCAAGAGTACCAACAACCTCCATATTGTTACAACCAATGATTAATTTTCAGTCCTTGTCTTTCTTGAGCTATCAGCACATTGAAACAGCTGGTCACTTTCCTTGAAATAAGTTTTTCATGTGACTTGAATAACATCATGCTTTCTTGGTTTGCTTCCTACCTTTTTTGTCACTTCTATATCTTTTTTGATGGTTCCTCATCCCTCTGACCTCAAAATACTGGAGTAGATTAGAATTTACTCCATGGACCTCTTTTCCTGACTATATTGCCTTGATGGTCTCACCCAGTCTTGAGGCTTTAAGTACTACATATATGCTGACGACTCCAAATTTATATCTCAGCTTTGACTTTGACTCTGAACTTTGCCACTGAATTCTAATTCTATATATCCAGTTCTATATATATCTAGTTTTATATATCCTGACAGCCAGCACCAAGCCCTTTCCTCCTTTCCTTCCTTCCTTCTCCACTCCCCACCCCCACAGTGCTAGGATCTAACCCAGGGCCTTCCATAGGCATCAAACCTATTATGCTTTGACCTTGATGATATTTTCTGCTTTGAATTCTAGCTTGAATTTGACTGGTATAAAATAGCCTTGTGTGTGTGTGTGTGTGTGTGTGTGTGTGTGTGTGTGTGTGGTGAACACATATAAGATTGTTGTATTGAAGGATTGTTGTGGTAAACACATATAAGATTGTTATTGTATTGATGGGTTGTATTGTGTTAAAGCATGAAAAATTGTTGAAGTAAAGAAGCATTAGCTAGTGTGTGTTAGGGCTTAGAGGCCAGCCAGAGGAGTGTGACAAGCTGATATGCTAATGAGCCAAACCTAAGGTGGCAGCTGATATGCTAATAAGTGACAGTGTGGATAACAGAAGTAGTGAGGTCACCACAGGGTATATAAACTCAGGCCAGAACCCAAAGCCTTGCTCGCCTCTTTGACATCAGAGCCCATGCTGTCAGGAGTCCCCCTGAGATGCTGACATAGAGGCAGCCGCCGCGCTTGTGAATGTGCCCCTTCTCCCGACCACCACTGGGTGTCGCCGGTGAACCGTGAACTGGACCTGCACTGAAGGTGGCTGTGAGGATCCCCTGGGGCACAGCTTCGCCCCCTCATTGGCTGAGAAGACGGCGCACGGTGAGCGAGACTTGGGGGAAGGTCTGAGTAACTCCTGGCTGGCTAGGGTAGTAGAGACAGGTGTTAGGATCCATAGGAAAGTGCCATGTGAAT